ACACACTGCTCCGATAAGAAGAATTCACAGTATCGAATTCATTCCTTCCCTCTTTTGTTCTCTCTCCAAATATGACCGCCCCACCGGCCTCCCCTTCCTGTCGCCGATCCGTTCCGAGGAAGCCTCCCTTCATTTAGCCAGGAATCATCAGCGGTGACCCTAATTGTGCCAGCTCCAGCAGTTCAATTGCTCCGATTACAAGGCTCTTCAGTGAGGCACTCAAAGGGCCGTTGAACTGTCAAAACCAACAATTAAAAATATCTATAGGGACAAGGACTGGGAGGAGGAGGGGGAGTGGGGAGCCGGATGGGCCTTTTCAGCTCTTAAAAGCCTGGAAGAAGTGAGAGGTTGTTGGACTAGAGCTGGACACCTGCACCACGTCTCCCTGTAACATGCTCTCTCCTTCTCAGTAGGGGGGGGAGAGAGAGAGAGAGAGAGAGAGAGAGAATGTGGCAGCCAGAACTGGCTTGATTTGTTTGGATGGCTGCGATGTGGCTTCACTTTTAAAAGGCCGCAGTTAGCGCACGTGTCAGGCAGGGCCATAACAAAATCACTAGTTGGGGAAAATATGACAGCAACATCGCTGGATTTTAAAATATATATTTATTACTTAGTAAATTATAGTCCTGTACTGAGAAGAAAAGTGTGCTTCAAGGTTTATAGTTGGACCATGTTACATGTAAACAGTTCACACAGAGAGCAGTAACTCAAGCAGTTAAAGGGACGGCGAAGGATTTTTAAAGTGAGTTTCAGTTAAAGGGAAAGCATTTGTAAAATTGATTTTTTCAAATTTCATGTGCCTCGTCAAAACACACCTGGAGTAATGCTTTGATTCTTTTATGCATGTTTGAGAATTCCTTTAATTGCCATGGCAACCACTCCACTGTGCAAAATGCCTGGGTGGACTTAGCTCCGCCTTCAAGGACAAAACTCCCCCTTTCAATTTACAAGCGGAGTTTCTGCCTCACAGAGGTACCCTCCCCGCCGCGATTACGGGGGGGAGGGTACCCTGTAATCGCGGGGTACCCTCCCCGCGATTACTCGACTCCTTCAGACTAGCCAGCAGCAATTAGCAAACACCTGGTGAAACTATGCATCTGCTGAGCTCATCATACAAGCCACTTCTTTGAAACACGGGTAAAAAAGTTGCTAAAGGGTTAGTAGAGGAGCGATGCTGCAGTGACTTCCTGAAAGTGGAGTTTCAGAAAGTGCCGGTGTTTTTTAAAGTGACAAAGACCCAATTTCAAGATGCTAAATTACAAAGTTGAATTTCTTTCAAGTCATATTTGATATATATAACATTTTTTTAACAACTGAAGTTAACTGATAACTTAACTACAAAAATTGTAGCTAAATTGTTAACCAGTTTCACAAAACTGCTGTTATCATATGCTAACTTAATCATCTGTTCATCCTCCTAGAGGCGAAAGCTAGTGGCTACCCTGAGACCAAAACCAAAGGGCGGCTTTGATTGCCATCAAACAACCATTAAACCTCCATCATGGATATTTAAGATAATTTATAAAGAAGCAGGTAATTATTTCATAGGTTGATGTTACATCACAAAAACTTAAAACAGACTTCCTATATCTGCTATAAGTTGACAGAAACCTGATAAGCTGATCAACTTTCCCCAAAACCAAAGAATGACTGAACAAAACCAGCTTATGTTGGAAAAAAAAGGGAAATTATTTCCTTCAACACCAAAGCTTGCTGTCAACAAATCAAATGAAAAATACAAAAATGAAATGCTTAAATAAAGAAAAAAAACCTTCACACCGGATGCCGAAACTGGTTTGACGACAACTATGAAACTAAATCATGAATTAAAAAGCACATTTCTGACCAGTCGGCAGCGGCAGATCTTCAAACACAGGCTGACCCCCCGGGCTGTGTGTGACAGCTATTGACTTTATTCAATAGATGTTTCCCATTGTAACCCAAGTACAGAGGCTAAATGTCACAGCAGCAGGATACTGGCCTATTATAGAGCATTATACGTCCCTGAAAGGGGATGAGAGCCCAAAGTTTAACCTCACAGTCGCTCGGCCATTGTCTCTGCTCTCAAAGACGGATGATAATACACTGAGGGGTCTCTGCAGCTGGCAGCTTCTCTTGACTCAACCAGATCCTGGGCAGCAGCTTCTTCTTTTTTTTTTCTATTCTCAATATGGGCGCGGCTTCGCCACCAGGCGGCGCCGCCATTGGCTCCGGCAGAGCGTCAGTCAGCGACGCAGCCTTCAGCCTGGCTTTTAAATGAAAGTGCAGCGACACTGAACCTGTGGAAACCGCGATGAACAGCTGATCCTCCCGCAGTGGATGAAGCCTCCCGCCGCGGTCTCCGGCCGGTCATGATGTCCGCTCCTGTGCACGGCACTATGTGAATAGCTGTTGGACAGACAAAGCAAGGAAGTTATTACAAGAAGAAAAGAGTGAAGATATTTCTACATACATATGTGTTTTTGGGATCTCAAATTAATAATAACGTCTTAGATTTGTGGGTTTTTTTTTTCTTCCCGGATTGGAGATACTGCGCGCTTCTCGGTGCGCCACCAGCTCTCCGTCATGCTTTTGCCAAGCGCTGTTGTCTTCACTTTTTCTTGCTTTTTGGCCCCGTTGCTCCTCTGCTACCTGCCTCAAGTCTCTGCACAGAAGCCCGGATCGCGGGTGAGTGGACCCACGCGTGTCTCTGCACACTCTGCACTCTTTCAGAAAAAAAACTTCACACACAGAGCCGCCCGCGCGTAAAATTGTTTATTGAATCTAGTATCTGTTTTAAATAGTCATGTTTTTTTTTTCTTTTTTACTTGCGGATTAATTGAGAACTCTTTTTTTTTTACAAAGCAGATAAATAATTGATTCCCTTGTTAATAATGTGTACAAACGCCTTACAGTAAATGAAACTTTTATTGTTGTTTTTTGCAAGAAACTAGTCGAAATCCCCCATTTTTTTCACTTTATGTTTATTCACCAGGCAAAACAAACAAACCAGTAATAGTTTTCAATCAAATCTCTGTTAACATAAAAACATTTCCTGTCTTCTCCGGGAACATTTCACAAGCGTAACCAAACAGATGAATCTCTCTAGGCACTTCAGCTCACCCCACTGGTTTTCCAATTATTATTGATCAATTTTGTGTCTGATTAATCATCTTCCTTCTGATTTAGCAGAGTAGAAAAACTCATTACGGATAGAATCCGCCTTATTTCTATTAAAAAACCCTCTTTGGATCGTAACAGAGTGAGGTCCACTCTAACAATCTTCCCAAACCCTCTAAATTCACTTCAATTCACAGTGCTAATTTACAATAAATGTCTCTCCACTACACTTTACGACAGAAGCCTGTGGAATCTAATCATTATTTATTTTTATTTTGTAAGAGTTTGTGGCTCTAGTGGCATTTATTCAGAGTAATCAGGCAGGAAATGGAAAACATGCAGCAGCAGCTCTGGATGTTGGGGGAAATAAAACCCTGGAGGACCAAAAACCGACTGCGACTGTCTGCTTCGTTCCAGTTCAATCCCAGGAATAAAACAAACTTAATTCAGTTGATAAAATGATCCATCCAGGCATCAAGTTGCCATCGCCTGGTCAAACATTTAGATGGTTTATTGCATCGAGTTATAAAACTTTGTAGCAACCAGACTGAAGTAGAAAGAAGCCCACAGCATCACAGATTCATCCTGTTTCTCGTCGATGGGGTGCTCGTTGCCAAGGCGACCCACCTCAGTTTCATCTGGGCCAAAGCAGATGAATCAACATGTTTACATTTGTTGCATATGATGTATAAAATGAGTTTCCTCTACATCGTTTCTGCACTAAGTAACTTTATTTTAAGACTCTTACTACATTGACTACCGATAAATGGTTGTATTTTACTGTATTTCTTTTTCTTTCTTTTGGCTAGATGATGCATTATCCATTTGCAATCATATAGCCAGGAGCCAGCAGTGTTTTAGTTGCTTTTGTAATCTGGAGATTTTTGTGACTGTCTATAGAATCATAGAATTGGCACCTGGCAATAAATCCAAGGTCTGTCCAACTTCAGTCATAACATTTTTGCGAGGTTCAGACAAACGCTGATGGCCTTGTCAGGTACAAAAAGAAGAAGAAAAAAAAAATCACTCTAGGATCCAGATGCACTTTAGAGGATTTGATTTTTTTTCTTCTCTTTTTTGCTTCAGTTTTTCTGAACCTGTTCGACTCACAAGCGTTTTTTGTGTGTGTGTGTTATTTAAATGTTATTTTGGAAGAGAGCAGGACTCCATACTGCACTGCTGTCCCGCAGTTGGCTTTAATCCTTAGGCTTGCTCCAAAAGTGGTGTAATCCATCTAAGTGAGTAATGAGAAACAGCAACCCCAGACCTGATCGGTCTCCAACCAGGTGGATTATGAGCAGCTCAAACCCAGGAAAGACTTCTCTTTTCTGTGTTTTATATACTTGGTTTTAAAGCCTACATGTCAGTGCAGTCAGGGAAAACCGAAGCATAGTTTGTCCAGATATTTCCTTACTTCCCACAGCATCCCTGCTCCCGTTCCCTCCTCCTGTTCTCAGACAGATCTTTGTCACTGTTGTGTCTCCTGGTCCCGTTTATTCCACCCCCCTCCCTCTCTCCCTTCTCCTCCCACACACTGCTCTGCTTGTTCCCCCCCACCACCACTTCTTGTGTTCTTTAGTTCCTTTCCAAATACCCGTGGCACCGCTGAAGGCGAAGAGGGGAAATGAGCGATGCGAACCGGAGAGGACCGGTATTGTTTCGGTTTGCTGATGCGCCGTGATATTTGCGGCTGTGTGTGTGTGTGTGTGTGTGTGTGGGGGGGGGGGGCGAACAAGATGACTCACGGCGGGGGGGGAATATGTAATGCCCTCTCACATACGGGAACCGTTTCACAATGTCTTTGAAACCTTCTCGAATACAAAACGTGGTGAGGTCTGTGGGGACGGAGGCGCAGCGGATTTTGTGCTGTCTCTATCCGTCGTTTTCCTCCTGGTGAAAATAGTTCAAGCAGGGAGGGGGGGGGGGGTTATGGTTGACTCAGGTGCAAAAAAAAACCCCAAAAAAGGTTTGGTTGCCTTTGGGGTTTTCCATTTTGGAATTCACTTGGAAGGTTTCACCCCAAATCTCACATGACTGACAACCTGACCAGCTCTTCTTCTGATGAGCTGAACTTTCATGTCGTCCACTTCAGGAGGAGAGATTCTTTTGTGCCTGGTTTTAGGCAAACTTCTCCAAACCACACTGCAATCAGTTCGACAACAACAAAGAGAAACGCAGTAAAAAGCGTGTGGCTGTACGTCTGTTTGGTGTGACTTTGTACAAGCTCCAGCCAGGAATGGTAGGAATCACCTCCCAACACATGAACTCTGCATCCATTTCGTCCTCTTGCAGCTCACTGACCACCAGCATCCACAAAGTGGAGACTTTTAACCTGGAGGTTCAAGAACATGGAGAAACTGAGCCTATAATACTTTAGCAGCTAGTAGTGGTAATTACTACTTGGTATAAGGCACTCTGCCTGTTCAGTATATATATATATATATATATATATATATATAGTTTGAACATGATTTCTTCCTTCCTTTCTCTACAAGACCGATCCCTCCCCTCTTCCCGCTTCTTAAAAAAGTCGTCTCTGAAAACAGAGCCAATCGGAGCACAAGAAGAACGGCTAAATTATTTTACTGTTGTAGACAAAACAACATAACGAAGCCTAACTCTACATGCGGCTTAGTCACGACTGAAGCTACACTAAACTAAAATGAAAAGACAAAAACAAAACGTGAGCAGTGATAAGTACAAAAGCAATCAAAGATGTGAGAAGTTATAACATATTCCACCTGCTTTAATCGACAGTTCTAATTGGTTTTAGAAATCATCAACTCAATTTTTTAACAATTAATCATGATTAAATCTCAGCATTCCTGATTAAAAATGGTCATTGTTTAACCACCCTTATATTTATATGTGTAAGCTATATACATATATTGATCTTTCATGTAAACAAATGGTCAGTGTACTAACACATAAGTACATAGGTCTAGAAGTCACCTTTCAGGCAGCTGACCAGCAGTGCATAGAATTTAAGGGCTTTGTATTGTATTGTATACAGTCACTTTCTTTAGCATATGCTAAAGGACTTTAAATAGTATGACGCAAAATACTTTGGGGTTTTTTAAACTGTAGCTATTTACAGTCTGGTACATCAGGTAGTATACAGTAGGTTTATGTTTACCTACAAAGTCAATAATAACTAATTTATTCCAAAGTAAGACATTTATGTTCATGCTTGGCAAAAGAAACCAACCAATCAGAGCATGTTTCTGAAATCTGAGAATAGAACATAAACGCCAAATTTGCAAAATCTGATATGTACGTAAAATTTGATTAAGAAACCAACTTTTTCCAACATGCATTGTTTATCCCCATAATTCTCTTTAATTGTATTAAAATTAAAAACAATTAAAAACTCTGATGTTGAAGGCAGAGGAAGGAGGTGGAACTGACCCTAGTTGCACCTGTGGTCACTTCAAGGTGTTCTGTAATTGTTTTTGCCCCGTCTTCATAAACATGGAGGTGGGAGGGGGCAAAGGGGGATGAGAGCGGGGTGGGGGCGACAATAAATGTAGAAGTTAAACTTACCGTGTCCTACGAGTCAGTTTTTAAGCACATTTTTTAAACCTTACTAACCGGGGGGGGGGAGGATTTGCACACTAATGAGACAGATGGCGGACAGGCGCCGCGTCCACAAATATCTTTGTCATGAATTCAGCTTGATGAGGATGTCCTACGTAGCCAAGCATCCTTAGTTCTCCTCATCAAATCAACCTGGTAGTGCTCGCTGAGGGATGCAACAAACGGTCGGCGTGCATACTTTGCTGACGGCATCAGCGAGGACTCGTAAACTCACCGAGCAGCACAGGTGAAGAGCCAGGCATGGGTGGCGGGGTTGGCCAGGAATGCATGCCTTCATGTTGGGAGAGAAAAAGCCACACGGTTCAGCAGGAAAGCAGTTTTTTTATTGCTGTGATGTAGATCACAGCCTTTGCTGCAGGTGTGAGTGGTCTGCATCTGTGCGCCGATGGATGCAACGTGCATGTGTACAGTCGGCCGGTGGCTCTAATTAAGCTCGCAGCACGCAGGTCTCAGGTTTTATTGAAAGAAAGAAAAGATGTGTGAAAGCTGAAGTCGATCTGAAAGTAAAGGCAGGTGTCAACGCTATTAGACAGCTGTTATGTTATGAGAAGCACCTTTTTATTCAGTTTGGCTGCGGATGTCCCATTGCATTTCTTGATTTTGAATATGTTCAACCATCCTACCGTTATCTTCTGCTTAATCCAGGGTAAAGATCCAGGCCTTCCTCTCTTTACCCACTTGTTCCAGTTCCTTCAGAGGAATCCCCAAGGCATTCCCAGATTAGCTGAGAAACATAGTCCCTCCAACATGTCCTGGGTCTTCCTCTGTGTCTTCTCAAATTTGGAACATGCCTGGGTTCTCTTGATGTAGACTCAATAATGATATTCTACTGGATGACTGCACTTCTCACCCCATCTCCAAGGGAAACCCTTCGTAAGAAACTCGTTTCAGGCTTTTGTATCCGCAATCTTGTTCTTTTGGCTTGTGACCAAAAGAAAGCAAAGGAACAGAGACAAAGCGGTAAATCCAGA